TGCAATCTTGCTCCTGCATCTGTGCCTATGGAGAACGGAAGGAGAGGAGAAGGAATGGCCGCGCAATAAGTTTGGGGATCAAGAACCCCTGTATGAATTGGAATAGCCTTAATCTTGGGAGAAGCGGTCGAACCATTTTTAAATGAGTTGGGTAGAGATGCCCCTTGACTTACGTCTGGCCTCTTTCGGAAGGTTGTTGAAGACTATTTCCGTTGATAACTCTGACTGCAACCATTTTTTGCATGCATCCCTTGAGATTTTGGTTCTGATCCAACAGCCTTTGCCACAGCCTTGGACATGTAGGGCTTACCGCGTTGTTGGCCATTAGTTTTACTACCTATCTTAGATGCAAGCAGCGTGTTGTACTGTGGCGCTTGTGGTCTATTTTGCACTTATTTATGCCCGACAGTGATTTTAGCGTTTATAGTTATGCTATCCACAGGCTCACTGTTTCTATACTGTCCACCCAGTGCATGGGCGAATTTCGTGGAGCCTGAACTGCCACTGTTATTGGAGACAAATTTAATATGATTCTGAGGACTATTAGGAGAGATGTCACCCAAAGGCTGAACTGGGTCAGTGTCAAGCATACCGCCTATTCCTGGGGAAGCTGTTTTGTACGGACTAGATGGTGTCGATTTTATAGGTGCATTGCAGTGGCTATTGTCAAAGTGCACTTCGGCAGCTAGGCTTACGTGACGGTGCATATTTACAGAAGTATGTTTTTTCGGGCCTACCAGTGATCGTCTACTTCAAATCATTTCCCTCTGGAGTGGTGTCTCATCATGTTCAAGAATTATCCTTTCGAAATCGGGCCTTGCGGCTACAAGACTGAGAGCATATGATCTTTTCGGCATTTTCTTCCTCAAAGAGGTTGAACACTACCTGGCAGCAATGCTTCGTCGAGTTCTTCTTTAATCGGATGGATGTACAACCTATGGACCGTAAGTTGGTGACTTCAAGCACGATCTTTTCTACTGTTTCGATTTTGATCTTATCAGGCACATTGAACTCGACTACATTTTTCTGACGGCGTACACGTTCACAAGCTTCTGATGCAAGTGCCGAGATGAAGTATGAAGCCTTATGCAAGTACTCTAGTTTGGGTTTATCAGGCATACTACACAAGTAGGAGAAGGGAAGCAGCAAGTTACAGAAGTCGTCCATTGTCGAGAGCTTTTCTTTGATGGATTTGACCTCCGTTTCAATCGGATCTGCTCTGTTGCATACTTCTGTAGGACTTTTAAAGCAGTTATTTCCCTTCAGCAATTTTAAAAGCACGGTAAGACAACGAAAACTGGTAGATGCAGGTATTTCATATTGTCTCCTCAATACCATTAACAATAACCAGTACGCAACTATATACTTAACTATAGTGTGACCAAATAAGCATGAGGGACAAAATGAATGACGGAAGCTTCACTCCTATGTCCACGGCAGTCTTAAGCTGACAAATAATTGCTTTTGAACACACAGGACCGGCTTATCGCAACGGCCTCGGCAAAACGGAGGAAGCGGGGGTTGGGGTGACGTAACACAAGTGTGTACGCTATTCCAAACTCTATCCGGTGACGCGTAGTCCGTAGATGTTTACCTATTGAGGAAGCTGACGGTTTTCACAAGCGCGAAACTTCGGTGGTACAGGAATGCTGGTCAATTTCACCATGGACTCACTTTGACACGTGTTCCTTTATTCAGGAAGTCGAAGACCGACTGGTTCTGCCTATGTAACTGTCTCCGTAGTCGCACGCGAATTTATATCTGCAGTTTGAGTTGGCCCTGATCGGTCGAGCTTCCTTCTTTGGAGACACCGGCAAGTTACGGGTTCTGTTGATGGCCATAACCTGAGCAGCACAGTAACTTCTCTGCGTAGCAGAGATTAAACGTTCCGTGGTTTTCGATACAGTAGAACTGTACAACTGTTGGCAGTAGAAGCTAAGAGATGTTTGTGAATTTTACGAGTTTCCTTAGGTTTACGTACTTTTCCAGCTTTTTAGACACATTTTAAACTTCGTTATTTAATAGCAGCGCATTTGTAGCCGAGTTGTTCATCCTGGAGGTTGGCGATACCAGGGAAGAGGAAGCAACTTGATCTACCTCCACAATTTTACTAGAGCCCCTTACATTTCGCCGGTTTGATAACACTGAGTTTATGACTGCACCTTTGTTCTTTGTAGCTAGTGTTTTAGAAGTCATCAGTAAAGTGGGAGATAAATGTAGTCGATATAGCAAACGTAGGCAAGAGGGAAATGTGTAAGGCCTTAATGGGTTGGGCAGCTTGGAAGAAATTAGTACGGCGGAATAAGGCAGGAAGAGCAAGTAGAGTAACAAGGTTGAAGTTCGGTATGAATACATTAATCCTATGTCTATAGACTTGTAAAATTGTTCAAAAAGTAGTTAAACGATATGAACCAATCGTTCATAAAATCTGCTATAAATCCAATGCATCAAGATATCCGAAAAAGCATTCTGAAAACAGCAGCGAAAGCACAACACGGCGGCGCTATTCGCAGTTCGTAAGACGGTTTGCGAAGGGTTGGCTGCGTTATTCTCTTTCTGTTGAACAGTCGCGTGCATCTTCACAAACGGCGTTTTATCTGGCCTTATAACTGAATTCTTAACTTCAATTGTCGCTTTTATAACCGACATATTCTACATTAACAGTTTTCGTGTTCAGCATTGTTTGAATGTAACTAACACTGAGCGGGTATGCTTTGAGTTCCTCTTTTTTTAGTCATACGACTATGCGCTCCTCACTTTCAAGCTCGGTGGTAGTATATGCTTCAGGCTATTTGGGACATTAAATCATATATAGTCACGACGGTCGTCCCCATCCTGCGTATCTCAATGGTCACAACCACAGACTGGCAACAGTCGGGCTTTGGATTCAAGCCTAACAGATGTCAGATGGATTATGCACGGCTGGCGATTCGCGAAATGATAAACGGCCGTAAAGTGCTTTTTCTGGCGTGTAACAGTTTTCTGACTGGGTCTAGATGTTACGAATTTCTACTTATACCATTGAGATTTCTTTAATACTTTTTAAATGTAGCATTAGTTGTCCGGATAATCCGTTCAATCACTTCAGCTTAACTCACGGAAATAAACTAATCACTGATATACAGGTGGTCGGAAGACGGATTGTAAGGTGGATTAGTTGAGGGGAAAACTGATTTCATACAAGAAACCGGGATCCTAACAATAGCCATTCCGTTTTGCAATTCTCTCACGACTTCCTCAAGTACACCTATTCTATCCTGTAAACCAAGCATATATTGTTACCCTGGGTGTTTCAATGAATGGGATTATTGTCGCTTATTGTTACCGCTGTGGTATTGTGTACGTAAGAACCAGAAGTGAGAAAAATGAGGAGGAATATCTCAACTGCAAGAGTGAGTAGACCAATGTTACTCATAGGTGATCAGATTGACTTTCAGAACGAGGAAGCAGAAAGATGAGTGATGGATAGGAAGAAGTGCGAGACAAGATATAAGTGTCCAAATGGAAGAAGTGGGAAGCGATGTAGCACACCATTGACCATAGCTCACACCCCGATGACAGCCCCGGAATATGTGGGCGTTCATCTCTTGTTGAACCGGGTTACGTTTACCTCTCTCGTGCGCAACACTGAAGGTGCACATTTACTGAGTGCGCACCTGGCGCTGGCTTGGTGGATGTTTACTCGTCATGTACGCACTCTTATAAACGAGTTTGTGCACTCGGTCACCATTATCATCAGCTGCCGGCCCTGGAGACAGTTGTCTAGTTCGCAACGTCTGATGGGTAGACGTTTTACATGCAGTCTCACCGGACACATCTAAGCCTAGTTTAGCATACAGCGTTAAATGCCAGACTAAACTACCGCCCAATCAGTCACACACAACACTCATTGACGGCGCCAAAATGCCTTGTTACTTATTACTTTCTTGCAGCGATGGTCTTCCTATCTTTTTACGACACTTATGAACTTGATACCTTGTTTTTATTCTGCCACTCCTTAGTTAAAGTAAGCATTGATTTCCCCACTGTCAGTGTCATTTGCCCGACTGTACAAAAGCTTACTTTTTTGTATGTACATCGCAGTGACAGCCTCGTAACAGCTAAGCTGGGACTGCTGTGATGTTCACAATTCACCTACGGTTACTTTTAGTGCTTTGTTGACCAGTCCAAAGGTCAAACATGCGACGAGCGCATCTCCAGTACACGCTTATTACACTCATTGTGACAAGTGAAAACTGCACAATGTCCAAGCAGCCTTTCCACACCATACTGATTTGTCCTAGTCACCACTTATCAGCCTATAAAATCCAATTATTCAAAGTCCACTATGGCTTCAACAATCACACGATCAAAAAACCGCCCTTACCCCAGACTATTTTTATACGGTCGCTGGTTACGTGGACAACTCTGACGACGAAGTAGGTGTGTGTGTGTGTGTGTGTGTGTGTGGCGGTCCTAAGGAGACCGCAGTGACAAGCAAACCCGGAACCGGTTGCCGCCAACCATCTGTGTGAATAAGCAGGTACCCTACTGTGTCGCATACATTTCCTCTACATTTTAGGTAGGCTCGGTTTTTGTTGTTGCATCTAACTGACTTGTCCATTTCATTTGGCAGTACACGTTTTTCCTCAACATACTTCACTAACCCACTCAGATTAGGCCAGTCTCCACTCGCATTCATTTTTCGGGTCTTTACCCGACTTCTGACTGTGTCGCGTTTTGCCCCAACCCCCTTGTATTTCCCTGGTGTGTGTTCGAAAGGAGGTCCAAACAAGAGCAATCGGTTATTTGAAGAGCAACATTTCGTAAACCAAGTCCTTGTTGAATAAGCGGATTCGGTTATTCCATTGTATTGGATATTCTCGTCCCTGTGGCAACACGATTATGCGAGCATCTTCCTACTCTAGTGCTTCCTGTTATTCACAAAGATTGTTATTATCCTTAATCAACTCACTCTACATTCTTTCTGTCTAACATCATGTAAATACCTCCCTTCCTAGATTTCCTTAAAGGAAGTATATGTTCCGAAGACAAAGAACAAGTTGCGCACCTCAAAGCTTGTCAGCTCTCAGGTGGCATCCAAGCAACCACAACAAACTGAGCATCTAACTTCACAACCGCAACAGTCACAATCTAAACAGCGACAGAGACAGTCGGCCACAGAACAATCCACACTAGCCAAACCGGCTCCGGAACCGCGCCAACGACTCTCTGCTGGAAGTACTCAAGCTACTAGGGATTCTGGTTCCACTGCGGCCGCGGAGCACGTGGTATGTCCGTTCGCGCCTTATATGCTGTTGTTGGTTCTTTCTTGAGGTACTTAGCAATTTCCTCCTAAATGGCACTGTCGTTATATCCGCCCTTATTTACTCCAATCGCAAGCACGGCTATGCTTCATACTTCCTAATTAAACTAGCTCTTTCGCATGCGATTTTTGTGCTTTCCAACGATTATCTTTTGTTTGTGCTTACGGTCATCATTCTTAATCTGTACCATTTAGGTTGGGGATGATCTGAATTTGGTAAGTACGTCTTCCCCAACGTGTTCAGTACACGCCGCTTGTCCTTCCTTTTAACCCTGCTCAGCAGTTAACCGAAGCTTGCACCTTGCACCCCATCGCTCGGGATAGTGAATTTAGTTTTAACTACTTTTCTTTTCAATAAACCTGTTCACACCAAAGAACCGCACGATTTAATTCCGGACAAATTTCTCTGCAAATTCTCAAGTGCGTACTACAGGACAAGTGAAAATTAATAGCATCATGAAGAGTTGAAAAACTTGAAATAGCAAATTAACCAACATCCATACGCACACAATTGTCAATTCATCAGCTATCTATTGGCTTACTTACAAGGGTAGAGCCAGTGTGACGAATGCGTCCTTCTGCATACACAGACTAGGATCAAGCTGTTTGATTGCGTAGATCACACTGAACATACGTGTGGTGTCAACGCAGTGTTTGTCAGTCAGGAGATGACGGGCGATGGATGACGCAAGCGTCCTAACACGTTGAGCACTTGCGTTCCTTGGCTGCACAAGTTGGGTGGTGGACAGGGCAAGGTTCGAAATATGATTCTTGACCCACGTCGGGATATGTTCAACGATTCTCATCCGCAACTGGCGCTGTCATGCCTATGTATTTGGATTTGCAATTACATGTAAATTTGTAAACGATGTGTGAATGGCTGGACAGAGGTAGCTGCGGTTTAACCGAAGGTGTGGGAATGCGCGTCATTGTGTATACCAGTACGGGTTGCGCCGCGGGATACACTCGTGCAACCGCGGATTTCAAACGCCGTTGAAATATTTGGCCTACATCATCTCCTTTAAACGGTAGCTTCAGTGTAACTTTAAGCTTTGGCACGGTGGGCACCTTCTCTTTCTCCCTCTTCTTACTGAAGTGTGCGATGAAAGAATTTGGATACCCGTTTTCTTCTAGGGTGTTAGTGAGGAATCGTACCTCTTCATCTAGCGTGTCTGGCGTGCAGATATTTCTCGCTCTGTCAAACAGGGTCTGCACCAATCCCTGTTTGTAGCGTTTGGGTACGAAACTATAAAAATTCAGGTACGTCGGCTTACGGTATACCGATCTACATACTGATCCATCAGTTTTGCGTTCGATCAGCACGTCAAGAAACGGTGTTATCATTCTGCTCTCGCTGTATTGTCACCCTGATGTTTTGATGCAGGTCATTTAATCTGGTGTTCAGTTGTGTTAGTTTTTCTTCTTGATCACAAATGATCAATATATCGTCCATGTGTCGGCGAAATAGAACGGATTGGTGGGTTTGGTTCATGATTTGATTTTCAAGGTGAGCAATGAAAATATCCGCTAAGAGTGGTCCGAGTGGACTACCCATCACTACACCATCCACCTGCCGAAACCATTGCTTTTGAAAACAGAACTTCACATTTGATGTACGTAACAGCAAGAGCCGTTCTATTTCGGACACTGGAATACCCAGTTCTAATTGACTCTCAGTCACATGGTTGCATATCATCTGGATAGTCTCTTTCAGTGGTATGTTGGTAAATAGTATCACTGTATGGATGCTAGCCATAGACTTTCCACTTAGCTGGACACTGTTCAGCAGTTCCACCTGTTTGAACGTATCCTTTAAGTTGTGCTTAACCATTGACTTCTTACATGTCTCCACTATTGTCACTAGCCATTTAGCCAGCCTGTGTTCCGGCGAGTTGCTCATGGTTAAAATTGGCCTTAGTTGAGCATCCACCTTGTGTAATTTTGGCAGCCCATAAAGTTGAGGTGTCCGTGTGCCTTTAGGTCTTAAGTATTTTGCGGTTGCAGCGGTAATGAAGTTTCCCTCTAACAAAGTCTGCAATTTCGTGTTTATCATTCTCTCTAATTCGGCCGGGTTGTCACGGCTATCGTCGGGTTCGAACTTTGTGTGGTCATTAAGTATCGTCATCATCTCCACATAGGCGGATTTGTCTAACACCACAGCGCCCGATCCCTTGTCTGGGTGAAGGATAACTACTTTTCCTTCGGATCTGCTTTAAGGCATCTAAATGCTTGGATTCCATGGGATCTTTGTCTGGAGGTCGTAATTAGATTTTGATGTTCTAGATCAACGACTTGTGCTTTCAGCCACTGCTCGTTATCCCTGGATGTTGGTGTGAGTCCATCAAGTTGTCTGTAGAATACCTCGAGCTGCGCCTGGGTTTCTATCTTGTTAATGCTCTGAGGGGGAACACAAAATTTTAGACCACAGGACAGTGCCTCAAGTTGCAGCTGAGTTAATTGGATAGACGAGAGGTTAGTTACATATCTCGATGGATCAAAAGGTAAAATAGACTCAAAAAGTTTGTAGTTCAATATCTTTCAAAACACTCAATCCAGATTTTCCTAGTTTCACGCACAGTATCACAGCAGAAGTTCACAAACTTGTGGTAACATACCAAGCTTAATTTGTCGATTTCCTGTCGTTTGGACAAGTACGTCTCGCAGTATTGCTTTAGTTTCTCAGCGCATTCTTCAAGATAGCTCCTGGTTATCTGCCTTAAATTCCTGGCATTCGGTCGCAACTTCTGAGTACGTAGGATTTTACAGTAAGCAGCCGGGAATTGGTTCATGTTTAGACACCTTTCCAATTACTCCTTTCACACGCAGAGTGGCAATTTTGCATTTTAACTAGCCCTTCTAGGTGCTTCACGCTGTATTTCGGGAGGTGGTGTTTGATATGATTGAAGCAACTCTTTCCCGACGAAATTTTCAGTAAAAAGGTTAACACCAAAGCACCGCACGATTTAATTCCGGACAAATTTCTCCGCATATTCTCAAGTGCGTACTACAGAACACGTGAAACTTGATAGCATCATGAAGAGTTGATAAAGTTGAGATAGCAAATTAACCAACATACGTACACCTACATACACGCGCACACACGTCTTTGTCAAATCATCAGCTGTCTATTGGCTTACTACAAGGGTAGAACCAGGGTGACGAACGCGTCCTGCACGCAGAGACTAGGATCAAGCTGTTCGATTGCGACCGCCTCAACGTATCGCAGCACAAGAGTGTTGTTTGATTCCTAGATCACACTAAACGTACGCGTTGGGTCACCACATGTGACTGAGAGCCAATTAGAACTGGGTATTCCAGTGTCCGAAATAGAACGGCTCTTGCTGTTACGTACATCAAATGTGAAGTTCTGTTTTCAAAAGCAATGGTTTCGGCAGGTGGATGGTGTAGTGATGGGTAGTCCACTCGGACCACTCTTAGCGGATATTTTCATTGCTCACCTTGAAAATCAAGTCATGAACCAAACCCACCAATCCGTTCTATTTCGCCGACACATGGACGATATATTGATCATTTGTGATCAAGAAGAAAAACTAACACAACTGAACACCAGATTAAATGACCTGCATCAAAACATCAGGGTGACAATACAGCGAGAACAGAATGATAACACCGTTTCTTGACGTGCTGATCGAACGCAAAACTGATGGATCAGTATGTAGATCGGTATACCGTAAGCCGACGTACCTGAATTTTTATAGTTTCGTACCCAAACGCTACAAACAGGGATTGGTGCAGACCCTGTTTGACAGAGCGAGAAATATCTGCACGCCAGACACGCTAGATGAAGAGGTACGATTCCTCACTAACACCCTGGAAGAAAACGGGCATTCAAATTCTTTCATCGCACACTTCAGTAAGAAGAGGGAGAATGAGAAGGTGCCCACCGTGCCAAAGCTTAAAGTTACACTGAAGCTACCGTTTAAAGGAGATGATGTAGGCCAAATATTTCAATGACGTTTGAAATCCGCGGTTGCACGAGTGTATCCCGCGGCGCGACCCGTACTGGTATACACAATGACGCGCATTCCCACACCTTCGGTTAAACCGCAGCTACCTCTGTCCAGCCATTCACACATCGTTTACAAATTTACATGTAATTGCAAATCCAAATACATAGGCATGACAGCGCCAGTTGCGGATGAGAATCGTTGAACATATCCCGACGTGGGTCAAGAATCATATTTCGAACCTTGCCCTGTCCACCACCCAACTTGTGCAGCCAAGGAACGCAAGTGCTCAACGTGTTAGGACGCTTGCGTCATCCATCGCCCGTCATCTCCTGACTGACAAAAACTGCGTTGACACCACACGTATGTTCAGTGTGATGTACGCATCAAACAACACTCATGTGCTGCGATACGTTGAGGCGGTCGGAATCAAACAGACTGATCCTAGTCTGTGGGTGCAGAAGGACGCGTTCTTCACACTGGTTTTACCCTTGTAGTTACTACAATGTTACGTATGTTGGTTAATTTGCTATTTCAACTTTTTCAACTCCTCATGATGCTATTACTTTTCACTTGTTCTGTAGTACGCACTTGAGAATATGCAGAGAAATTGGTCCGGAATTAAATCGTCCGGTGCTTTGGTGTTAACGTTTTTCTTTTCTTTTGTAAGGAGGTGCTTTTCTTTATGCATTCTACGTCTGAGATTCTTAAATCAACCCTCGATAATACACACGCCAAATTCTGTCCAATACGTTAGTATTTCGGATTACGTTTCCGGCTGCTGTCGTCTTTTACTGTTTATTGAATTGAATTTATTGTCCACAATAATCATTCGCTCTTGTTGCTTGCTGCAAATCTCACAGCTGGATCGGACTAAAGCTGATCCAAACATGTTGTGCGAGATTTATTGATCCCTCCTAACTGATGTGTGATGGCTTTTCACTTAGTATCTTTTGTGATCACACTACTTACCCCCAATCTTGGTCACCGAATTTTC